CACCTTTTCCTGCAGAATACCCTGGGTGCTTTTTGAAGCCAAGTTTCAGGTCAGAACTAAGCATGACTCAGATATGAAATATCACAGGAGCATCCTAGAGTGGCTTAGGGTCTCTGACGGTGACCTAGGCCTCTATTTTGCACCAAAAACTAATGATCTTAACGTTTGCTTTACTTTACTTTTATGTACAATAAAATACATCGTGCAGATTTATCCATGATATTGTTTCCTTCAGAGTGGCCCAATATATTGTACTAACCATTGTTTACACAAGAAATTTCATTATAATTTCACTAACTTAGTGAGCCAGGAAAGCACCAAGAAGGTTTCTTTACTGGATACACCCGATGGGCCCACATGGTACACACCATGTGCAAGGTGATGCAAGGATAGTTCCATGAAAGAGAAATAAGATCAGTTTGTCCCATTTCTTCATCAAGTCCTATATTTCACGCTATGACTCAATCACATTTATACCTCCTATGGTAAAAAGTTTTATCTTCTTTCAGATATAAGTGCCTCTGTGATGCAGGCTGGGTTGGCATCAACTGTGAAGTAGACAAAAATGAATGCCTTTCTAACCCATGCCAGAATGGAGGAACTTGTGACGATCTGGTGAATGGATACCGGTGTACTTGCCCGAAGGGCTTTAAAGGTGAAACAGAAGTACAGCTTTCTGTGTCTGCTCTTTGTCCTCTTGTTGTTGCATACTGCTTCACTCACTCCTTAGTTTCCTTTACTTTTTTCATTCATTCATGTAGCAAACATATTGAGCAATTACAACCTGTAAGGCACTTGGGAGCAAATATATGAATAGCTATAATTTCTACCTTCAGCCTAGCAGAGAGATAACCTATGGAAACAGGAGTATTTAAAATGAGCAGTTAAGACTTTAGTTTTACAGCTTTGGCCAAGTGTCTAATTGTAAGCCTCCTGGTCCAGGTATGAGTCTGTGATAGTTCAAATGGATGTATAGAAGTAAAAAATATTATGCCTACTATAATTAAGATAGTAGTACTATCAAGGAAGAATCCACATGTTCAGAACTCTTTCAACAAACTTCTTTACACATTGAGTTATTCTTAGGTACTTAGTCATCCTTTGGTCTACATCAGAGGTCCTCAACCCTCAGGCCGCAGATCAGTACCTGTCTGTGGCCTGTTAGGAACCAGGCCACACAGCAGGAGGTGAGCACCCAGTCAGGGAGCAAAGCTTCATCTGTATTTATAGCCACTCCCCATCACTCGCATTGCTGCCTGAGCTCCACTTCTGTCAGATCA